TAGGTAGAGTACATCGTAGGTAAAGGTTAGTAGGTGGAGTACATCTGGTAAAGAGTTAGTAGGTGGAGTACATCTGGTAAAGAGTTAGTAGGTGGAGTACATCTGGTAAAAAGTTAACAGGTGCTATATTATATGTTGTTTTAGTTTTAGTTGCTACATAAAATATGTGATTTTATTTCTTGGAACAGTCTTTAGGACGTATCAATAGATTGTAGAAGCCCTCCAGTTGTACTGCGGCATGTCTGCGGACTTACAACGCTAGAAACCGATACACGTGGTGGGCAGAGCATAGAAAGCCCAATGTGTAGCTTTGTGCTTGATTACAAACAAACAAGACTGTAGAAAGTTTTGTATGGCTTATACACCCCCTTGGAATACTTAACCCTTCCATCCCAACCCCCACCACACCCCTATACACATACGCACGCAAAGTTTTTCTCGCGTTCCTGACACACAGTCATTAAATTAATTAAGCAAAAATGTTGATATTCTGTAAGTTACCCCATCTGGTGGCCTAATATATAAATACAAGCTAAATTTGATGAGTTGGACATAATACGTACGGTCACAAATTATAGCTAAATGTTATCTGTATCTGTTATAAAACGTACATATTACTGTGGTTATGAAAAACACGTTTCTGGTGATTCACGGCGTTTAACAACATTTATTATTTAAAAATAAAACTTGGAAGAAGATTATAATCAAGTAATGTCGTCATTTCTAGTTAAATTCAGGATAATAGTTAGGTTTATTGTTAATGTTGAAACAGACATAGAATCACTCAGAGCGGAAGTCTGAAGAGCAATATGTAATTACGTAGAGATAAAGGCCTAACCTCTTTTAAAAAATTTGTAAAAAAATATATCACGGAACGACAATTCTGAAGAATACATTGTTCAGCCTAACGGTGGATCTATCACGTGACAGACGATCTCACAGTATTTATTTCTCAATTGCTTAGCGCGAAACTACATACTTAGCTATTTGCAGCCTTCGGGGGGAATCGAAACCTATATTTCAGCTTTATGTGCTATCAAGTTTTCTTATGAATTTCTTGTATTTGTTTGTCGTTAAGCGCAAAGCTACACAATGGGCTATCTGTGCTGTGGCCACCACGGGTTTCGAAACCCGGTTTTAGTGTTTTAAGCATTCAGAATTACGGTTGAGCATCTAGGGGACGTTCTTCTGAGACACTGGCACGCGCTCATAACCCCAGAAAGTTATTATTAATTATATTTTCTGACCAATAAACGCGTTCGTGTTTCACACGTTCCAGTAATAAAGAACAAGACAATAAATTCTATTCAAACACTTCCATAACCGAAAAGGTCATCTTCGTAAGGTCAGTTGCTTTTTAAGAAGGTGAACAGAGCGTCCACCTAAACGTCGGAATATTGTTTCTTTATTTTTGTCGTTTACAGTTTGAAATTAATCGAACTCATTTAGCGCCATCTACCAAGATGGCGAAGAAATGTTTATATAAAAAAGTTGGTATTTTAGAATATATTGTATTTCCATGTATTCTTATTGGTTTGCATAAACATTGATGGCTTGATTGTTCGTTTTAGCAAAAAGTTAGACGATACGTTATATTCTGACTCATGGATCGAAATACGAGTTTTAGCCTTATAAGCCCTGAAGCTTAGTACTGAGCCACCAGGAGAAAGCCTGCACAAATATTCGAACATACAAACAATAATGCAATGATTACTCAATGAAAAAAAAAGACGATTTCCGCTAATGTCCGAATTCAGAATTATCATAGTTAGAAGGTGAGGTTATTTAGGGTTAAAAGACGATATCCACTAATACACGAATATAGAATTATAATAGTTAGAAGGTGAGGTTATTTAGGGTTAAAAGACGATTTCCTCTAATGTCCGAATTCAGAATTATCATAGTTAGAAGGTGAGATTATTTAGGGTTAAAAGACGATATCCACTAATACCCGAATATAGAATTATAATAGTTAGAAGGTGAGACTATTTAGGGTTAAAAGACGATATCCGCTATTACCCGAATATAGAATTATAATAGTTAGAAGATGAGACTATTTTGGGTTAAAAGACGATATTCGCTAATACTCGAATATAGAATTATAATAGCTAGAAGGTGAGACTGTTTAGGGTTAACTCTCTGGTGGTATTATAAACTTACTGTGGTAGATACTTAGTGCAAAAACGTAGGTATAAAACTTCAACTTTCCATGTGACATTATATCTTTTATATTCTAATTAAATAGTGTAGTATTACAAC